CCAGTTACCCCGGGGGATTCTCTCACTCCTGTTAACATTCACTTCGTCTCTCTCCTGGCCACTTACCGCGGAAAGTCGGAAACGCAGCGTGGGAGACTCCAGCACTCACTTGGCAGGTCTGGGACAACCAGCCCTCCTCTCATTCACACACATTCATCTCCCTGTACCTGCCCCCCTGAGAAATACTTACCAATCCCTTTTCCTTCCCGGGTTCTTAATGCCCATTACTACTCTTCGGGGGCCAATTACCACGGTTGTAGGGAGCCTTTTTCCCTTCTCTTTGTTTTATTGTCTCCTTTTGTCCACCATTACCTGCGTCTGTCGGTCACCCCAGGGGAAACAGAGCGAGGCTGCCAACGGGGCAGGGCGTGCCTTCCCCACTCTGACTCTCCTAAAGCACCGGCAGCGAGGTGTTAGTAACCATCCTCTGCTACTAAAATCGTGAAAAACGCCAATCTCTTGCTTTTAAAATTTTAAAACCATAATAGTAATAAAATGGGTATGAAAAATAGTAATACAATTAGAGTAATCACAGTTTGGAGAAATCGAATTAGGACAATATGAGACAATAAATACCAAGAGTAACGGATGTCCGGGTACCTTTTTCTAGGCAGCACAAGCCTGAAAAAGGACACCTGTTAACACAGGATTAACCATTAAAAACAACAGCCTGTTGCATATTCATACACTTCATACATGATGCATAAATTCCATTCAAACACAGGATTCTGTCTGGTCAGTGCCACCTTCTTCCTCTGAATCCTAACAGTGCCTTCAAGGCAGGAAGAAGTTCATTTCTTGTGATAAGAGAGCAATAAATTCTTTTTCTCGGAAAGATTTAGGTATCGTGTGGCTGCTATCTCGCTGCAAGTCCTTTCTTTAAAAAAAGCCTCTTACCAAGCATAGTTTGTATTTTAACATTTTTTAATAACCTAAAACCATATTCAACTCAGTAATAAAGAGAATTAATACAGCAGTACTTTCTAACACAAGACATATAATATTCATTTTAATATTTGGAATAACCCAATCACAAAATATGCATTTTTTACAAGTATAATCCCACTTACTTCCAGTCTCTCCCAGTTTGGTCCCAGCTGCCGCCAGCATGGTTCCAGTCGCTTCCTCAATCAACTCAGTGAGTCCCAGTATGATGCCATTTGCTCCCAGTTGTTCCCAGTCAGGCCCAGTATGGGGGATGATGTGCAGGGTGTGCTCACTGTGACACTCAGTTCCTCCCAGTATTAGTCCAGTCCCTCCCAGTATGATCCAAATATGAGCCCAGTGTGCTCCCAGTCTCTGCCAGAATAAACCAGTTTTGCTCCACATGGTTCCAGTTCCTCTCTTTCACCCTCACTTTCCTTCCAGTCACTCCCAGTATATCCCAGGGTACCCCAGTTCCCTCCACCATCTTTCCAGTTCCTTCCAGTATGATCCCATTTGCTCCCAAGCACTCCCAGTCAGCCTCAGAGTTGTGGCACTCACTGCCAGTATGATCCCAGTCACCACCAGTATGATCCCAGTTCATCCCAGTACAAGCCCAGCAGTTTCCAATCGCCGCCAGCATGCACCCAGTCACTCCCTGTTCTTCCCAGTTGCTCCCACCATGATCCCAGTTACTCACAGCTGCTCCCAGTCATCCTCAGCATATTCCCAGTCACTCCCAGTATATCCCATTTGCCCCTAACATGGTCTCAGTTGCCTCCTGCAGGCTCCTGCTCACTCCCAGTATGATCCCAGTGTCCATCATTGCGATCACAGTCTGCCCTGGCATGGCAACATGATCCCAGTATGATGTCAGTACAAGCCCAGTACAGTCCCAGTCACTCCCAGTATGATCCCAGTATGATATCTGTACAAACCCAGTGCACTCCCAGTCACTCCCAGTACGATCCCAGTCCAGCCCAGTCCCTGGCAGTGCTGCCACTGCTGGGGTCCCCCAGCCCTGTGTGCGTTCCCCCCTGGCGGATGTGCCGAGAGGAGCCCCAAGGGCTGGCAGTGGCCAGGCAGGGTCCCCAGCAAGGCCCAGTTTGGATGTGCAGCCCCCAGTTTGCCCAGTTTGCCTCTCCTTTGGCCTGGGCCGGGTTCCCCCCGCCCGCAGCGGCTGGAGCAGCCGAGAGCCCCGCGCTGCCCATCCCGACCTGTCCCGGCTCCATCCCCGCTCCTGCCGCGGGCTGCGAGGGCTGCGGGAACGGGGCACCGAGGGTGTGGCTGCTGGGGGAGGAGGAGGAGGGAGGGAAGGGCAGGGATGAAGGGTGTTATAAATTGGAGTGGACAATCTGCCGAGTGAGTATAATCAGATTAACAATTTTTATTGATTTTATTGATTACAGCAAGCAAGGCAAAAAGCAAATCAGCGCTGGGCGACAGGGGAGTCTCCGCTCCGCCAGCTGCCGCCCGCTTCTGGTATTTCGTGGGGTTTATATACAGTCCTGCTTCCGGGTTGGTGTGTCTTTCAGGGTAGTACTCTGTGCATTCTCCTCCTGTTGCTAGGTGGTCGTAGTCTGCCTCCCGGTCGTCCGAGGATGAAGGCTGGTAGTCTTTCACTTCTTGCCCCATGGTCAACCTTTCCTTAGTTGGTATGGTTGCTCTGGTTCCTGGAACTTTAAGCTTACTGAGCAGATAAGCAAATATTGTGCTATCAATCATAGCAGGCCCGCTACCCATGTCAACAGCCTCGCCCCTTACTCCTCGGCTAACAATAGGCACATAGCTACGTATAGTTACACATTGCTTATTTAGCCTTTCAACATATTAGCTTCTAACATTTTGCAGTTTAAGCCTTATGACATTTATTTTGCAGTATATTAGCCCGTTATATTCATCTTGCAACATACTAGCTTGTTACATCTTTCTTTGTGGTTTTTCTATTATTGGCTTTTCCCCTTTTCGTAGTCTTTAGAAACTTGCTGAACAAACTAAGACATTAACTCATTACAAAGGGGGAGGAGGAGGTGGGGTTAGGGAGGAGGAGCAGGGGGAGGGATGGAAGAGAAGGGATGAAGGCAGAGAGCAGCAATGGAAGGAGGAGAAGGAGGTGGGGTTAGGGAGGAGGAGGAGATGGGATGGAAGGGGAGGGATGGAAGAGGAGAAGGAGGTGGGGATAAGACAGAGGGGGAGAAGGATGGGGGATGGAAGGGGAGGAGTGGGGAGGAAGGGACAAAGGCAGATCGAGGCTGAGCTGAGGGAACCACGCTGTCGATCCCTGCCTGAATTCGCAGCCCCCACCTGTGGGATCATCGCCCCCCCATCGCGCCGGTGAGCGGGGATGGGGAGCTCGGCCTGGATATCCCTGGGGATCCCTGGGTTGGGGTTTTTGGGGGATGTTTGGAGACTGAAGAAGTCCAAGGCTGAGCAGAAAAGGCCCCTTGGGGAGACATCGGGGGGTGGCGGTGGCGGTTGCCGGCAGAGGCAGCCTGGAGGAGCAGAGCCCTGTGTCCCCCAGGAGCCCAAATTGGGGAGCCCAGAGAGGGGGGAGTGGCGCCATTGGCGGGAGCCTCAAGAGCCTGGAGAGGGGCAGGGGGGACTCCTTGGAGCCGCTGCAGCCCAGAGCAGAGAATGAGGGGAGAAGGGAGCCCGGGAGCCCAAACAGCCCCGGCATCCCGAAATGGGGAGAGCGAAGCAGGGGGAGCTTTTGGCATTGCTGGGACTGCCGGCAGCCTGGGCAGGGCGGGCACCGAGGAGAAGGGGGACCCCCAATCCAAGCGTGACCCCCAGCAGCTGGGACAGGGGGGAACTCCCTGAACACCAGAGGGGAGGGACCACGGACGGGGAACTCCTGGGAGGCTTTTTCCGGGCTGAAACTTGGTGTTTGGGAGGTTTTTCTGGAGCCGAGGTGGCCGGTGACTTGTAGAGATGGACTTGGGGAAAAGGGACTTTCAAACTCAGTGTGTGTTGGGGAAGGTGAAACAGGAAAGCCTTATAAATATGATTGTCTTGAAAAAGATTTTGAGAATATAGAAAGTATAAGGAAGACTGAAATGAAAGCAAGCTCTGAGATACCTCAGTTAGTGAACAACTGGAAAACAATGGTGTGGCCCAACTGAAGGTAACCCCCTTTTGATGAAACAATTCCCTCTGCTTGCAGACAGATCCAAGGGTCAGAGCAGACCCCACTAGCTCAATAGAAGGGGTCCAAAGAGGAGTTTTTAGGGTGCAAAATGTAACAGAGTATGATGATGTATTGATTCTTACACACTGTATGTAAATTCTGTAGGATTTGTATCTTGTACTAGATTGGTTAGTGAGACATAGAATATTCAACACAGAAGAAAATTTATTGTGTTATAATGGGAACGTTGCTCTCTTATGCTCTTGCCTGTCTTACTCTTTTACCTTCTTACCCTCTCTACCCCTCTCTTCTCTCGGGCCTGCTCCGAGCTGTGCCTGGCAGCTCCCAGCAGGGCCCTGCACCCAGGCCCTTTGCAATAAACCGCAAGTTCCATGACCTGGCTGCAGAGATCTCTCGTCTCCATCTGTCCCGACCGTCCTACCCCCCAATGCTCCTACAAATGTGCTCATCCCTTGTTTTCCCCAAACCAGGATTTCCCATTGCCAAGGCCTGGGAGGCTGCGAGGAAGAGGAAGATGCCCCGGGACACTGAGACAGGTGAGGAGGAAGTCAGTGCCCCTTTCCCCTCTGTGCTGCTCCATCTCCCAGCCCAGCACGGCCCCGGCTGCAGCTCAGGCCTGGGGGATCTCCTTGCCCTTGCCTGTGGCACGGAGGCAAATCCCATCCTGTCCTTGTCCTTCCTCCCCCAGAGCAGGAGCTGAGCTTGGAGAGCAGGGAGGACAAATGCCCGCGGCAGAACCTGGTGGAAGAGGCCGTTTTGAGCGGCTCCATGGCGCAGGAAGCCAACGGGGAGGAAAAGCCCCGGAGATGCCGCACAAGGAGGGGCTGCAAACGCAGCCGGCGGGGATCTGAGGGGGAGGGAGCCAGCCTGGGCCGGGAAGGCGGCCGGAGAGGGAGCCAGAGCTCGGAGCTGGTGCTCCATGAGCAGCTCCATGATGGGGAGAAGCCCCACACGTGCGTGGAGTGTGGGAAGAGCTTCAGGCGGAACTGTGACCTGATTGTGCACCAGAGGATCCACACTGGGGAGAAGCCCTACGAGTGTGGGGAGTGTGGGAAGAGCTTCAGCCAGAGCTCCCACCTGATGAAGCACCAGAGGATCCACACTGGAGAAAGGCCGTACAAGTGTTCTAAGTGTGGGATGTGCTTCAGAGAGAGCTCCAGCCTGATCAGCCACCAGAGGACCCACACTGGGGAGAGGCCCTACGAGTGTTCCAAGTGTGGGAAGAGGTTTCAGACCAGCTTCGTTCTCCTCCAGCACTATCGGATTCACAGAGAGGAGAGGCCCTTCCAATGCCCCGACTGCGGGAAGGGATTCAAGGATAACTCCGCCCTCATCACCCACCGGCGCATCCACACTGGGGAGAGGCCCTACGAGTGTGATAAATGCAGGAAGAGGTTTCCGACCAGCTCCAGACTCATCCGGCACTATCGGATTCACACAGAGGAGAGGCCCTTCCGGTGCCCCGACTGTGGGAAGGGATTCAAGTACAACTCCACCCTCGTCACCCACCGGCGCATCCACACTGGGGAGAGGCCCTACGAGTGTCCCCAGTGTGGGAAGAGCTTCTCCAGCAGCTCTCACTTGACCCAACACCAACGGAGGCACCACTAAGGGAAGCCCTGCGAGTGCCCCGAGTGCGGGTAGAGCTTCGTGCGCTGCTCCAGCTCCATCCCCCACTGGAGGAAGCACTTTGGGCACAGCCCTGGTCACTCACATTCCCTGTGATCCATGTTGGGAACACACCTGGCTGCTTCTCCTTTTGGTTTGGCCTTAATTTTCCTCTGCTTCACCTTCATCCTTTAAAAACACCCAAAATTGGATTCAATGAAGGACATTCATCGGATATATCTGAGTTCCATAATTTCTCAGTAGTTTTAGAGGGTATTTAGGGTTTGGGGACGCATTCTGTGTCGAGTCCTGCTGTTGTTGCCTAGAGGAAGGAATTTGATCTCAGCCTCCTTATGTTGCTAAGAACTCCTCCCCTGACCCCAACCCCAACTCCACCCTCTGGATATCCTATAAAAACTCCACGGCTCTGCCTTTGCCCTGTCTTTGGGAGGTAAGGAATGGATTCCCAAAGGATCCGCCCTTTTCCCACTGGATTCCAAGCGGATGAACCTGTTTCACTGGATTCCCAGAGGATTCTGACTCTGTCAGTGTTTTTTTTTTTCATTTGTACTACTGCAGTTCTATTTTCTATTTTTCCTAATAAAAAGCTGTTATTTCTACTCCCATATCTTTGCCTGCGAGCTCCTTAATTTCAAAAGTATTAATATTTTTATAGTTTGTAATTATAATAATAATAATAGTAATAATAATAATAGTAGTAGTAGTAGTAGTAGTAGTAGTCGTCGTAGTAAAAGGGAGGGAGTGTACATTTTCTATTTCAGTGGAGGCTCCTGAAATGGGGAGACACCCCCAAGGATGGGCCATGTAAAATAGTTCCTGAAATATGTAAACTGGTTTATGGATATGCAACAGGCTGATGTAATTAAAATCAGATTAATTAGGGGTGTCCCCGAAAATAACTAGGGCAGTCTTGGTGGCCAGAACAACTTTTGCTAAGTTGTCCTTGTCTCGCATGATATCAGCCTGTTGCATATTCCTCAACTTTTTGCATATCCCTAAAGTACTTTACATATTCCAGGAACAAAATTGGCTTCATCCTGTTCGGGGGTCCCACCTCCTTCCCAGCTCAGTTTTGGCATCCCATTCCCTGCTATCTCAATTTGGGGGTCCCTCTGATTGGCTGGAAATTACCCCGTACGGTGTCTGAGTATTTACCGCAGTAAGAGGCCTTGGCATGTGCCTGGCAACTGATGAGTCAGAGTCGGGCTGGGCGCTGATTGGCTGAAAATCGCTGAGCAGGGCCAGTGCTCTGAGTTTCTGCCCAGCAACTGGGTCGTCATCAGTGCCATGCGTTCTGACTGGTCAGGATCTGTTTTGGGGTGGGGATGGGAGGAACTGGGGTTACTTGGGGTTTCTTTGGGTTTAATTGGGGTTGGTTTGGGGTTTTTTTGGGGTCATTTATGGACTATTTAGGGTTTATCTTGGGTTTTACTTGGTTTATTTGGAAGTATTTGGGTTTATTTGGAAGTGTTTGTGTTTGTTTGGGCTTATTTGGAATTATTTGACGTTCTTGGGGGTTATGTTGTTGTATATGAAATTATTTTTTAGTTGTATTTGAAATTATTTGGGGGTTTTTTGACTTAATTTGGAAGGTTTTTTTTGTTTTTTGGGGTAATTTGTATTTTTTTGGGGTTATTTGGCGGACTTTTAGGTATTGTTTGGAGGTTTTTTGCGGTTTATTTCAAGTATTTTGGGGTTATTTGGGTTATTTGGGGTCATGTGGGTTCAAAAAACTGGGAATATTTCTCCTGCAAAAAATGTGAATTTTTCCTTAAAAATTCGAGACTTTTTCCCCAAAACACTGGGAATGTTCCCTTAAAAATCACCGGCTTCTCCCAGCCAATAGCGGCGCGTCCTGCCCCAAACCATCCAATCACTGCACTACATCTCCCAAATTAACGAATCATGGCGCACCCCGCCCCAAACCATCCACTCTCCGCGGGTCTCCCCTCAGGAACACCGGCCTCCCCATGCGCCGATCCAACCAATCACCACAGGTCTCCCCTCAGCTACTCCTGCCTTTCTCAAGCTGAACCAACCAATCACCGGGCATCTCCCCTCAGCAGCGCCTGCCTCTCTTTCCTCAATCTAACCAATCACTGGGCGTCTCCCCGCGGCAAAGCCCGGCTCCCCCGCCCCTCTCCTGTCAATCGCTGTGCCCTCTACGAAACCAACCAATCACCGGGCGTCTCCCCTCAGCAACTCCCGCCCTCCTCGCGCCGCTCCAGCCAATCAGAGCCGAGCCCGAAGCAGCGCCCCCTGACCCCGGGGCCGGGCATGGAGCGGGCGCCCCCTCCCCCCACCCCTCGCCCCCGGGACCCCCTCAGGGACCCCCGGGAGCCGCCCCGGGCTCGGGCGGGTCCTGCGGGAGGCGCTGGAGAGAGCGGGGGAGGCGCTGGGAGAGGACGGGGGGCTCCGGGAGCTGCTGAGGAGGCGCAGGGACAGGTGAGGGGTCCTGGAGAGGTCGTGAGGGGAATTTGGGGAGGGGTCTTGAGGAAGTTTGGGGGGGATTTGGGGAGGGTCTGGGGGGAACTTGAGGGGGTTTTAGCAGGGTCTGGGGGTGCTGGGGGGCTTTGGAGGGGAATTTGGGGAAGGGTCCTCGGGGGGTGTCACAATCCGTCCTCATGGACGGGTTTTGTGATGGTTCAAGGATTTGATCTCAGGGTGCAAAAAGAACCAACACGCTACAGTGGGGTTTGCAATGATAATCGAAACAAATGCACCTTTATTGAATGAGCACAGCAAAATGCGATAGAGGGATTAAGGGAGAGAAAAAGATGGGGGAAGAGAGAGACAAAAGAGAGAGAAAGAGAGAGGGGATAGAGCTACCAAACGTAGAGACGAAGTCCTTTGGTCCAGTCCAGTCGAGGACCCGCCTGTTGCATCGGGGAGGTCTCAGAGGCCCAGTTCATCTGGACCCCAAATATACTTTTTTTCACTGGGGCAAGGGGGATGGATTTTGCAGCCAAAACAAAGGTAGTTTATTGTATCTTCGGGGGGGGGGGGGGTGGGAAATAAGGATACACACAGTCCAAGTTTGTCAGCTGGCGAGAGTCATTGCTTTCGTTGTCCACTGCCTACACCTGCAACATCTATCTTGCTTTGGGCAGCTTTCCTTCCTCGCCCTGTACACCTCCCCCGAGTTGCGGCTTTCGGTCCCAGTCTCTGGAAGAAGGTGAGAGGGGCCTTCTCACATAGGGATTTCATGTCTCAGTCTCTTGATGAAGAGGTTTCTTACATCTCTACTTGTCTGTCACAGTGGTTATGAACAGTCTTCTCTTGGAGGAGGGGACCACCCTAAAGCTCAAACCAGCCAGGCTGAGTGGTAGGGAGGATTCCAGGGCTATTGTGCAAAAGGGCAGGATGCCCTGTGAGCTCAGTGTAGCGTATAACAAACAACATCTATGAAAACAGCAACTTAGCAACACTTTCAGGCCTCAGGCACATGACTTTCCCGGCCACCGGATCAGCAAACGAGGGTTTTAATTTTTTGGTGGTCTCTCTCCATGACAATCGTAAGGCAGATGAGGGATATTTCAGACAGACTCTCACAACACGGAACACACTTGTTCCCCCAGCTCCAGAAGACTTGATGCAGCAACAAAAACATTCCTGCAGGAACCACCAAAGGCCAAGGGGCGTTTGGCCACTTTCCCTTCCACACCGCACACTCGGGCAAATTGCGCAGACCAAGCAGCCTTTCCCCTCTTCCCCATTCGCCTGAAGACACTCTGCACCAAGAGAAAGCTCCTGGACACCCGGGTATCCAACACAGCAATTTATTGTTCCTCGAGTGGGTGAAGGGAAAGGAAGTGCTGGCAGAGGAGGGGTGTTCCCCGCAGGCTCAGGCGGCTCCAGCCGACGCAGCCTCCCGGATCAGTTCTGCACAGTGCCGCCGCAGGACACTCAGCCACGGGCACACAGGAAAGGCCGCGACTTCCAGAGGCGGCGGAGTTGGTCTCGAATCCTCTGGAGCCGGGAGGAGGGAACGCTCTGTACAGCTAAAAGGATGTGCAGAGCTTGAAGCGCCAGGCATGAGATGGCAGGGCTGCTGTCATCCGTCATGTCCTGAAGGGCTGCAGAGACAGAAACAGAGGCACAGTCAGAGGCTGGATCTGCGGGGAGCTGGGCAGAGCCTCCAGCCTCGTCCGTGCCACGCAGCTGCTGGCACGGCCTGGAGGAAGCAGGAGCCAAGAAGGATGAGCTGGCAGCTGCTGGCCAGGAATGCCCCGCAGGCCCCTGCAAGGTGTCTGCGCTGTGGCCCCGCTGCCCTTGGGGCGCGCAGGGAGCGGAGCCGTCGGCGGGCGGGCCAGGGAACGCAGCTGCCAGCGGCAGCCCCCGCCGAGAGCCCGCGGGCCTCACTCACCGCTGCAGATGATGCGGAACTGCGGCTGCTGCCCGGTCAGGTAGCGCCCGGCCATCCCTGGGGAGCACAGAGCGTGTCCTGCCTTCAGAGGCACAGCTGCCGCCCACAGGCGCTGCCAGCCCTCAGGCCACACGCCCTGCTGGCCCGGCAGGGCTCAGCCCGGGCCCCTGGCGCACGCTGCCGCCCCAGGGCACGGCTGCCAGAGGGCGGCAGCAGCAATGCCCAGGCCAGCGGGGGCTGCCCATGCCCGCGCCCGGATCCTGCTGCCGGCACAGCAGGCGGGGCCGGGGCCGAGCTGCGGCAATGGGGCGGGCCGGGGAGGGAGCCGGGCTTGGCGCTCACCCATGAACCTGACGGCCGCCTCTCGCAGGGGCTCCTGTGCGCTCCGCAGGTAGGGCAGGGCCAGGCGCAGGTGCTCGGCCGCTGGGCTCCTGTCCTCTGCCAGCTGCAGAGAGCGGCAGGGCACGGAGGGAAAGGGTTGATGCGGGCCCTGCCCCTGGGCCGGGCGCTCCTTACGGCCGGCGCTGCTCCCCCTGCCCACAGAGCCCCGAGGCCCGGCCAGCAGCCGCAGGCGCCGGGCTCGGCACGGGGCACA